AATAAACAAAAATTGGCAGTAATTTTAAAAGAAGCAGAGAATAAGAAAGTATACTTAAATTTTTTTTGAAACTGCATTAACTTTTTTTAATAGAGGGTTTGGGAAATAAGGAAATTACCCTGAAAATAATCATAAAACATAGAAATGGTATATAATAAATAAAATAAAGTTAAGGTTGGGTTAGGAGGTCCTACATCCAAATAATATGAGTTGGTGGAGGGACAAGAACAAAAGTGTGAGGCTGAGGTGAGTGGATTGCCTGAGCCCACGGGTTCAAGACCCGCCTGGGCAGGAGAGACCTCATCTCTACAATAAATCAAAAAATTAGCTGGGCGTGGTAGCGCGTGCCTGTAATTCCGGCTACTTGGAAGGCTGAGGCGGAAGGATCGTCGGAGCCCAGCAGGTCGAGGCTGCGGTGACTGGGAGTGGCCACTGCACTCCAGTCTGGGCGACTGAGTGAGACTCCAACTCAAAAAAAAAAAAGAAAGAAACATATTCTCTTAGTTCTCTGAAGTTACTATAGTATATTTTTAGGCTTTCTCTTGCTTTCTGCAATGCATCTATTTTGTCCAATTTCAATGCTTTGTTTTGGTCTATCTTCATGTTATAGACGTTATCCTCAAAGGTTTGATGATTCTTAGCTGTCCATTCATATTAATATGTAGCATAAATGTTGATCAGAAGCCTTTGAGTAAATGAGTTTCACTGGCAGGGACTTTGAAGGTTTTTTCTCTTGGTCAAGGCAATTTTCCCAAAGAGGAATTTTACAGTCTTGCCTGGGCTCTACAGGACTGGCTGTCAAGCTAGGAGTTGAGTAAGAGAAAGAGACTAAGTTGGCCAATTTCCACTTAATTCATCGTTTCAGTTGGCACCCCACCCACATCCTCATAGCTGTGAATTTATAATGCAAATTAATAATGTTTTTCATTACGTTTTCCAGTAATAGTGTAAAAAAGAGCCAGTTAAATAGTCAAAGCTAACAGGACAATTTTATTGAGCTTATGAAATAAAAGTTGGCCTGGGGGTATTTTATTATGCCTCTGAAGATGAAGCCAAGTGAAAGAAAAATGATTTTTATATAAATAATTACATGAAATAAACTATGGAAATGTAATTTCTATTGGGAACCAAACTTCACACTAGACTGTGCTATACATCCTTTCCCTTTGTTTTCTAACCTACACAACTAGATCTAGTCATGTGTCGCTGTTAACTGACAGAAAATAAATACTCAAACTAAGTGTCGATATAAACATGTAGTAGATATTTGAGGGTTTTTTATTTTCCCAAGTATGGCTTAATCATTGGCAAAAACAGACTGTATGCGATATAGATCAAAGGAAAAAAATAAATACCTTTCTTATAATTTGAAATTAATGAAGTAATAAAAAGCAAGATGCCTGTTTATTATATGATAAATTCAGGAAGAGTTTCAACAAGTGATTTCTTGGCACACAACCTTACGTAACCATACCATCAGTCCTGGAGGGGAATAAGGAATGACAGGTACACATGCGCACATTTTTTTGTGCCTCCTTGCCTTGACTGGAAACTCCTACTTTACTTCCTCTTCAGTCATGGCTCAAAGATCACCTCCTCCATGAAGCCTACCATCTCCCAAACAACAAAGACAGAAAAGCCTAGGCAACATAAAAACAGTGTGTATTATCTTCTTGACTCAACCCAGCAACCTTCTAAAATGATGTCATTATTATCTTCATTTCACAGCAGCATCTGGAAAATCTCTAAAAGGCCATTTACCAGCCAAATATCAATAATTTCTCCTTCAAATTATGAGTTTAGAATGGGAAAAATTAGGCAAAAGTTAACAAAACTACAATATTAAAGGCCAAAACTTAATAATTTTCTGTCTTATGTTCCAATACCTGCAAATAAAATAATTCACTACCAGAAACTTCTTGACTATTTATCAGAAACTTTATTGGGGTCTCTACTCTTAAGATAGCCTATAATGTTTGTTGTGGAGGTGATACTCAAATGTTAAATAAACAATAGAAGAAAATAAAAAACACTGTGTGCTTAAGCTATAGGATTTGGAAAAGAAAAATACTTGGAGAAAATGACAATGTAGAGAGAATATGAGAAGGGAGTGTCAGAAGAGGTAAATGCATACACACAAGCACAGAGGGAAAAATGAGTTTTGTGTATAGACAGTCATGAGAGATGAAAGAGATACACAGGATAAGTTCCTAAATGCCAGGCCAAAGCATTAAACTAGACATGGGGAGAAGTGGCCATAAGGAATGCTGAGCCAGGAAGTAACAAAACAGGAGTGTCTAGACTCTTACTGGTGGATTGAGCAGTCATATAATCTTCCACAGAATTCTACTAAAATTCAAGAAACATCATAAAATGCATATAAATAGACACACAACAAGGTAGAAAACTGAGGAGGGCAGTCATTAGTAGGGCAAATTTATCATGAACTTTCTGGAAGATTGAAAGGGTAGGAGGTAGTTACATGTCTGAATTTTTCTCCTAGTTTCCTACAGACTTAATATACTTATTCAACATCTCTACTTAGATACCCAATAAACAGCTCAACCCAATATTCTCAAAATTCATCTCCGACATCCCCTAACAGGATCTGCTATACTCAAACTTTCCCATCTCAGTTAACGGCAACCCCATCCTACCCACTAGCTTAGCCTAAAAACCACAACCCCTCTCCTTCCCTCATACTCTACCATACAATCCAGCAGGACATATAAGAATCTGACTTTTTACCATCTCCATTACCTGACAGAAGCGACAATTATCTCCTGCCTAGTCTACTGTGATATCTTCTTTACCGGGCTTTCTTGTGGAACTACAGTCATAACACTGTACCCTGCCCTGGCTTCCAATTATCTCTCTATAGTCTCGTCTCAACCGGGCAGTAAGAATGATTCTGCTAAAGTGTTAAGTGGGATCACTCCCATGCCCCGACTGTCCAATGGCACCTTATTTCTCAGAATAAAAGCTAATTTTTTTTTAAAGCCAGAGTCCCACTCTGTCACCCAGGCTGGAGTGCAATGGCCACTGCAGCCTTAACCTACCGGGTTCAGGGGATCCTTCCACCTCAGCATTCCAAGTAGCTGGAACCATAGGCACGTGCCACCACACCCAGCTAATCTTTCTTGATTGATTGTAGAGACAAGGTCTTGTCAAGTTGCCCGGGCTGGTCCCAGACCCTTAGGCTCAGGCAATCCTCTCGCCTCGGCTTCCCAAAGTGCTGGGATTGCAAGCATGAGCCACCACGCCTGGCCTAAAAGCTAAATTCTTCACAACAGTCTGCAACAACCTGTATGTTCTGACTCCCATTACCTCTGGCCTCATCTCCTGATACTTTCCTTTTCTACTCTTTTCTCTCTGCTCCAGCTTCCATAGCCTCCTTGTTTTCCCTAGTACACACACAAGCACCATTATGTCTTTTTTTATGAGTTGGAATCTCACTGTTACCCAGGTTGGAGTGCAGTGCCATGCTCACAGTCATCACAGTCTCAACCTACTGGGCTCAGGAGATCCTTCCGCCTCAGCCTCCCAAGCCTTCCAGGCAATTATCACCATGCCAGGCTAATTTTTTTGATTTATCGTAGAGATGAGGGCTCGCTAAGTTGCCCAGGCAGGTCTTGAACCCCTGGGGTCAGGCAGTCCTCTTACCTCCACTTCCCAAAGTGCTGGAATTATAGGCATGAGTTACCGTATCCAGCTTATGTAATGTTTACTGTCTGATTAGTTTAATGTTTTTAGCTCTACCCTTCCCCCAACGATATAACCTAGGCATTTAGAACAAACAGTGCTTAGAACATAAATGGACTGAACAGTAAAGGCATCCATAGTCCAGAACATATACTGAAAATGACTGAAGCAGATATGGAAAGAGGAACCTGGCAAAGACTTGACTTGAGGTCAGCAAGTAGAGAGAATGGAAATGGGCAGAACAACAGTAATCAAGCTGATTAATAAGCACATACACCGTCTGGAAAACAGCTGCACCAGCTCCTCTCCTCTCCTTTCCTCCGAGCCCCAGCTCACTGGATGGAAAGCACTGACTCCCGATAACTGTTCTCTAAAGAAACTGAACAAACTGCCTCAAATGAGCTAGAGCTTCCAGTGGAACAAGAAGCAGCTCAGCATTTTAAGGCCTCCTGCTCCCCATCCTGGTATCCCAAAGGTGAACCCGTCAGCCTACTTGCTCTGCCCACTTTCACAGAATTCTTAGTCATAGAAGAATGCTGCCCAGCAAAGAATGATTTTGTATTCTACTACTAAACCCTATGATAACATCTCAAGATCAATGTCTTATAAAAACAGCCAATACTATCTCAACTTTTTAGTTAAATTAGTCATGTGAAAAATCATAGATTGTAACTATCATAAAAACTAGTCATAGATTGTAACTATCATAAAAACAAGACTTCTTGAATTATGAAGATATTCTGTATGTTGTTGAATATATTTAAAATATTTTAAATTACCCTAAGTAGGATTTTTAGAAAAGATACAAAATTTTATAACATCTTGTGTCCAGCATAACAAGTATCTGGTCACTTATTAACGGTGATTCCAAAGCTTACTAATATAACAATAAAAGTTGTGACTTTCAAGCAGCTGACAAGACACATCTACTTTTTATTTGAGTTGGAGTCTCACTCCATCGCCCAGGCTGGAGTGCAGTGGCACTCTCACAGCCATCTCAGTGTGGGCCTGCTGGGCTCAGGCAATCTTTTTTTATATAGAAGTAGCCGGAACTACAGACGTGCACTGCCACGCCCAGATAATTTTTTGATTTATTGTAGAGATGAGGTCTTGACAAGTTGTCCAGGCTGGTCTCAAACCCATGGGTTCAGGCAATCCTCTCACCTTGGCCTCCCAAAGTGCTAGGATTACAGGCTTGAGCCATCACGCCTGGCACATAATCTACTTTCAATAGTAGAATGTTCAGAGTTTGGTCTGTCGCAGGAAGATAAAGTATAAACAATAACTTGTGAATTTACCTTCTCTGAATTTCCAATTCTTCTTGGGATGGGCCATTTTGAACTTGCGCTGGTAATTGTGAATTTTGTCTAGGCAGTGTTGGCCCTATAGAGAAAGGAAAACATTATAGATGAACATTATCTTTGTATGTAGCTGGATAGAGGAGATAAAATCATGAGGATAACATAAAACCGCCACATATTTACAAATGTATCTTCTTTTTATCTAGCAAAATAAAATATAAGCTTTATATAACACACAGCAAATGAAAGACTGCAACATAATACTGTCATCATCTCCAGAAGGCTTACTTGAAACAAATGGAAAACATCAACAATAAAGGAAAAAGAAACATTTATATATGAAGAGCTTGAGTAAAACAAGTGTTCAATGAGCATCTGAATAGGCACCTAAGCTTGACATTTTCTAAGACAATGAGACATTCTCTTTGGGGTAATTATTCATGAAGTGGAGAGGGAGAACTTAAATGAAAAATCGGAATTCAAAAACTCACCTAAATAGAACACTGGAAATGAAAAACAGGAGAGAGAAAGCATGAGAACCTTATTACTAAACTGAAATATGCTAATGCATTTATCAAATTTGCCCAACTTAAGCTGCCATTTTTGTTTAATGGCCTGGCATTTCCAGTACTTGTGAAAACAAACATTGGCTAAACTTCCATATAATAATTAACCTACATGTCTGAATTTTTAATGTAAAGAGGCAATTATAACAACTTTTCATTGAGGGTAAGAAGAAAAAAACCTCCTGCATTCACACAACATGGTTCTGTCATGAGAAACTAATGACCATCCATTCCAACATATCATGTACAATGCAGACCCATTTTTAGTATCTTAGATAGAAAGTCATTAAATTATGGGACATCTTAATGTTACTGGATATAAAAATTAAATGTGTCATAAAATGAGATAAATAATGAACCTAATATACAATGCCTAGGGTTAAAATAAAACAATCTTAAATACTAATCTAGTAAACAAAAGAGTAAAGAAATAGTAGCTATTGTCCACTCCTTGATATGGGAATTCTAGTGTGCCAGCAAATGCTGCTGGCAGATATTTTCAAAGATTTTTGTAAACCACTAGTATTTAAAAGTTAGTAAATAAATGTTTCTGTGTACTAAAGTAGATTCTTGGAATCTATGAGTTAATAGCACAAAGTATCTATTTATACTAGTGGAATAGACTTCAGAACTAGAAGTAATGGTTTATCAGGATGAATGCAGTACTAGTGTAACCCAAGTGTAGGCGAAAAGAAATAGTTTGATCTGAACTTACCTACTAACTTTTTCCCCTCATCTTTTTACAAATGCTTTTAGACTAATCATTTAATTTGTCCTCTAAAGACAGATTAGATGACAACTGCAGTGATATATTTCATTAGTCTGCTATCTTGAGAGCCAAATAAAGGAATATAAAAATATAACAACCCCATGCGATCAGTAAGAACAAAAAACCCAAAGAGTTTTTGAAATTAAAATTAAATACACACGTAAATGTTTGCATAAATGAAAATATATGATGGTTGTGTAATAAACAGTTTAGAATTTTTTCCTTGGGAAGCTAACATAATAATGACAAAATAAGGTTGTCATATTAGGCCATACACTAATGTTTAATACTTAAGAGGGAAAAGTGCTCTCTTCTGGCAGCAGGATGAGGACATATAAGGCAGGTGGATAAATTTAAGAAAGTATAAAATATTTGGGGAACGTACTTAATATATTCAAAGTTACATTTATCCACAACTAGTAAATGCAAGCATTTAGCATGGGCAACTCACAAGACCATTATGGATGAATTATTTTTTAAAAGAATGTTTACTGAGTATTTACGTGAAAACCTCAGGCTGCTTAAATAATGAAACAGCTGCACTATTTGGCATCCATTTCATAGAAGAATACAACTGTACTACTCACATAAAGAAAGGAATTATATTTCAATCATGATATTAATGGATTAAATTTACCAATTAAAAATCTAAGTTTTAATTCAAATTATTAATTCAAAAAGGTGTCAAAATTTCAACTCAATCCTATTGATTTATTAAATAGTAATTTTTAAAACTAACAAAAGTTTGATTTAACTAACAAAACAAACTGAGTAAGAAAAAAACTTATAGCATTTACAGAACTTGTTTTAGATTTTTAAATAAAGGTTTTTAAAAGCTTACGAAGCAAATCTGTTTAGGTTTTGAAAATGTGAGTAATATTTTGTGGCTGATATAATCAATTATAAGGATAATTTGCTACAGTTTATTCCTATAGCTAAGAAGGAAAGAAAAATTTCAAGATCCAATTAAAATGGAGAGAATTTTGAGCCCAGAACAACTCTTAAAATTCTTTTCTACATGGTTCTTTGTGATAATAGATTATTTGTCTTTCCAGACATTCTTTAAATTGGGAGAGGGAAATCCCTCCTTTTGCCATTTTTAAACACATTTATATTTAATCTAGTTGTTTTTTCTTTCTTCTTCAGTATTGCCAAGTTGAAATAATCAGCACATCAAATTTTATGTGCATTTAAAAATTAATATAAACATACAAGAAACATTAAATAAAAGTTCCAGGTAAACTATAAACTTCAGGTACACAATTATATTTTTCCTTCTTGTCAGACAATGGGCTGTAAAACTGGTAAATAATACCAAAGTTACCATGCACGACCTGAAGCAGCAACTAAGATTAGGCAAGGCTGTCAGCTGCCACTGTATGTTCAGGAATATAACAATTTCTTCACGTAGGTCATTTTCCTAAATTAGTATCTGTGTTCTCATAAAATATAAAATAGGTACTTTCACAACCATTTCAGTGGGCAAATGACAGTATTTTATGAGCATCATGTGGTGGCTAATAGCTCTACAACCAAGGATAAGAAACAAGTGAACCTGCGTTGCACCTACTATGTTATCATAAAGAGCAGTAGCTGTTGGAGAGTTAAGCTTTCTCTCTAACAGCCAAAGACAATGGTTGATCTTAATTTGTCCTGGCTAGAAGAAGATATATAGCAAAGTTTATGAATTACTGTTTCTAAAAGAAAAAAATGTGGCAATGTCACTGATAAAGTATCCTATGAATAACGAAAATCAGATTAGAAGAATCTCTTTCTAAAACAGGAATGGCATCTCAGAGTTGCCTTCAATATTAAGTTTTGGTTAAAGCACATTTCACTTACTATCCCATTTTAATTTTCACAAATCTAGTTTCACACTTAGCCACAGACTATTTAAAAACACAGGACTAAAAGACAAATAGGTGTTATTATACACAATACAGTCAAGTTTAAACTTAGCAACATGGTAATTATATTGTTTATACAAACTTAAAGGTAATAATGGGGGAAATCTATTTTTTAATACATTATTTCACAACTTTAAAAATTCACTTTCATTTAGGCCAAATCAATCTTTTCTCTGCAATTAGATAAACTATTATTCTGCATATGTAACTCAACATATTAAGTACAAAGGTACAGAACATCAAAGTGGGTTTCCAAACTGAGCTACAGAGACTCCTAATACAAATAATAATAATCATCCATGGCTGATTCAAAAGATAGCCTGGAAGAACCTCCAGGAGGCAGAAAAATCAGAAATAAAAGTTACTGATTAAACACTTAATCTGCAATATTTAGTTATGGGATCTGGGAAGGAGAGGAGGGTTTTATAAAGAGCCACACAATAGGCTCATTGCTATAATTGTGTCGCCTGGAGCAATCCTAATATATGACTTTAGGTGACTAACAAATACATTAGACTTTTCCTTCCCCCCTTTTAAAAAATTTTCAGTACGTACTTCTTTGCCTAAACCAGTAAGTGTGTACATTTAAAAAGGATTCTCTTCATAGATAAACAAACAATATCAATAATATTGAGGAATCACATTAAAGATTCTGAGTCACATGGATAAAGTACATACACATAGCTGAACACTTTATGTAAGTTTTTAACAGTACTATATTTTATAATTTCATCTCTCTCATAAAATAATCTGGTTAGTCAAGGTTTACATGAGCCAAAAAGGTATATATGAATTTTTTTTAAAAGCTCAAATAATCACTTTTTGAAACTTGGGTTTATTTTTAAATAGAAAGTTTTGGAAGTAAATGGGGATAAAAAGAGTTTAAACATGGGTATCTATAAGTATAGATAGATATTTCTCCTTTGTAAGGATAAGAATATGTACATGTCTGATTACATCTAATTTGGGAGGGCTAAGTAACATACCTAGTTTCTTCAAGCTAACAATACATATATGTGCACACGTGTGTATATGAGAGAGTGAAACAAAATACTCTATAAGCCTAAATTCACTCCTAAGCCACAGATATCTGACCTACTGAATAAAGGAGGCTACCAATCAGAAATCAACCTATTAAAACAAGTTAATAGTTTCCATCTGTCTCACAACATTCACACCTAAAATTAGTTCAAGTTAAGCAGTAGAGTTTCTTTTGGATAAGGCACATTTACACTCCTCAAATCATATAAAAATGGACAAAAAAATTTTCCTTAAATTGTAAATTAAAGGTTTGCTCCCAAACAAAATAATTAAAAACAAAAATGAACAAACAAAAATCTCTCTCATTTCTGTTAGAAGAGATAGACAAGAATAGTTTTTAAATCCTAATTCTAACTAACTCCTTAACTATCAAGCCAACTCAAAAGCTGACCAAATCACCTACGTGAACCACAACAAATATCACAACATAAAACCAGCTTGCTATATATCCCAAATATTACAAACCAGGCTATGGCCTAAGGAAACAAAAGTTATGGAAATGTGCAAGTAGTATGTCCCACAGCTTGAAAAAGTAATGTAAACATAATGTTGCTTACCACAGAAAATACATCGCAAATTAGTGCTGTCCTGGGTAGCAGTAACTTTGCTCTGGGCTGCAACAGACACCTTGGTGTTAGAAGCTTCAAAGGACAATGGGGCCATCTGAAGAACTTCACATAAACTAAAAGGTGCTTTGAAATGTTCAAAATGTATTTATACATACGTCCTATCTAGATCCTCATCCTGGAAGTTCTGTAATTTAATGAAAACGTATCTTCTTTAACATAAGCTCTTTAAA